GCTCCAAAAATGCAGAATTTCATTTTGGAACTTCGGATGACAGAGTAATCGGAAGTCATCGTGTCAACCCTATACATGACTTCTCAGTGGCTGACCCCTTTGCAAAAATTGTGAGATTTCGAAACCAGACTTAGAAGCGGTGATGTTAGTTTGAACCTCTCTGATATCCATGTTCAGCGGATCAGCGCGAGTGTTTACAACTGATGAGCTGAATTTCATTTCTAATATCAGTCTGAACCTTGTAATCTTCAAATTTGAGCCATATAACTCTGGAATTTGAACCTTGTAATATTTCGAGTTTTTGTGGTACAATCGTTGAAATGGCATCATATGAGACTCATATATTGCTAGCACTATTTTGACCTCAATATGCAATGGTCTTAGATTTTATTATCCATTCTCGAATCTGTTTATCTTGTCGATCTCACAGCACACGATATGTATAGCTAACTTGACTGCGATCTTCGACATTATTGCATGCAGTTGGTTTCTTCCACCATGTGCATTGTAGAGCACAGAATTAATTATCGCACTCGAGTGTCCATCATCACACCCTTATGTGTAATTTTGACCTCATCACTCATGGGTAAACTTATGACCGAAGTCATTCCACACACTTCATTTTTACAAAGCCTTTTGCCAATAAATGCCCATGATTTGTCCCTCTTCTAGCCGCAGTGTGGCCAAACTAGCCGGGCGGGAAGCTTGTGCGGTAAATAGCGCGGTAGCGCGGGAACAGGCTCACCGACTATACATTTGGCGCCTCTTCGAGCCTATGCTTGCGGTGCGGTGTTGTCAAGCGTGCACTGAAATCCTCCGCTATGAACGCCGTGACAAGACGTGACGATTACAGGCCGGCCGGCCCCCATTTATTACAGCGGGCATTTAACCCTTGTGTCTCTTCAACCTTTCGATCGCTCACCACCATTGCAAGAAGCACACTCACCATGAGAAATTCTTAGAGGGTATCCCGCGCGGCTCCAATGGCACTCCGAGCGGCTGCCGACGACGAGCAACAGTTCAACATGTGTGCCGTGGTGGACACCCACAGAAGGTTCATGGACCTCTCGGTGGTGTACACCAACGACCCGGTCTGGGTGGAGCACTTCATCCACATCATGGAGCTGTTGCTTGCCGAGGAGAAGTACAAGGTGGTCGGGTTCGACCTCGAGTACACCCGTGCTCGTGCCGGGTCTCGTCCCAAGGTCGTCGTCGCCTAGATGTGTGTGCGCCGCCATGTCCTCGTCTACCACTACTGCCTGGGCACAAGTCCTTGCGAGCGTTTCGCTAGGTTTGTCAACAGCCCCCACTACATGTTTGCTACGGTGGACATCACCAACGATGTAAAGGCGCTCGAGAATTCGGGCATCGCCTGCCAGAATCTTGTCGACATCTAGGGCCAATACAAGATCTGGGGCAGCAAGGAGCATGAGAAGGACTCACTGGTTCACCTCGCCGAGGCCATCATCGACCCCTACTACAGAGACACGAAGGATTCGTGCAACAAGGACAAGCGTGCCTGACACTCGGCCTGGATGGAGAAACTCGACAAAGCTCACGTCGTGTATGCGGCCAAGGAGGCATACATGAGCTACGAAATGTACATGCGGATCGTTGACATGAGGAAGTGCCTCCTTCCCCAAAATGGTCAGGGATCCAGCCGGAAGCAGAGCAATGGCAAGTGTCGTTGCAACAATAAGTAGATGATTAGATCCTCGTTTCTCCTACTTTAGTATGCATTTAATTGCTTACTTTGGTGCGTGGAAATGTTATGTGTGTAGTCATTTGTGTAATTGTATACTTAATTTGGTTATGCAATGTTGTTTTTGTAAGTATATATGTTGATGCTCTGTAGAGAGAGCGTAGATGTTGTGCGGACAAAGAAAATCACATCGCACACGGACTAAACAATGGAACCTATTGGTGATGTTTTCATCAACCACTCACAATTGTATACCGGCAATCGTTTGCTCACAACACACACGGCTTGTTAGTAGTAATCGACTATGTTGTTATCGGTCTTCGCACACGTTTTCGATTATAGACCTGTTTGCCACGTATCACACACATCTTATTAAGTTGAATCGTTTCTGTTCTCATGTCTTAACGCAAATAGTTCATCCGAGTGAACCGCATGTCGTATATCGCACACACCTTGATCTGGCTGACCGTTTCTTTTGTGTTGCCTAATCATAAACAGTTCTTCCGAGTGAACGTATGTTGTACATCGCACACACCTTCATCTCGCTGCCCGTTTCTTTTGTGTTACCTAATCATAAATAGTTAATTGAGCTGAACCGTATGCCTTGCATCTCACACGCAACTAAAATCTGAACCATGTTTGATGCATCCTCAATCGCAAACATTTTGCACCTTTTTGACGGGTTTTTTACACCATCGTTTGTGATTATGGCATCGCACACAGTTTCGTCGAAGGGTCTCTGATCGTACTGTCACGTTAGCAGCATCCTGCAGTAGTGATACCCTATATTTTAATGCTCCGTCAGGTACATGGGCGACAGCCGCAACTCCGTCTCCCGCGACTCCTCCATGTCGGCCTCTGCATCCATCTCCGCTTCGACCTCCTTGAAGAGGGCGTCAGTTGCCGCCCGTTCCTGCCGGATGAATTGCCGGTTGGCCTCTATATAGGCCTCATCCTGGATGGACTCCAGAATGGCCTGCTGCTCCGCCATCTCGTCTGCTTGTGCAACGGCGAACTCCGCCTCCACGTCCTCCATGTTGAAGCCCGAAGCCGCTCTTGCTTTAGCTGCTTAGGCTCGTCCACCTCCTTCTCCACCTCCATCGGAGCCGGCTGCTGCTCCTTTCCCTCATCCTCCTTTGCCCGCTCCTCCTCCTCCGGTTTCGGCAAGTTCGGAGGCAGCCCGACAGCGATGCAGGCGGTGCGCGCGGTGCACCTCGCCCGGATCTCCTGCTCGATCTGGTACCGGCGCTCCGACGTGAACATATCGTAGGTGGTTATCTTTTGCCAGACCATGGAGAAGCTGGAGAGCATGCGAAGAGCGACAGAGCGGGAGAGAGGAGGTGGATGGGCTCAGGTAGGCGGCGGGATAGGGTTGGGTGATGCCAGCCGAATTAAATAGTCGGATTTGGCCTCGGGCGGCGAGCCGAAGTAGAACCACACGTCGTTCACACCCCCACCGGAGGAGACGTCTGTCGGACCACCGGATTTTCGGGCGATTTCGTGTGGGACCTCGTCGTTAGTCCAATGTGGCAGACGTGTCCGGGCGCCCTCATATCCGCCCCATATTTGGGTTGACTATGAGGGGTGCCGTTCAGCTCAGATGTTTAAGGCCCATTTGAGGCGCCCGTGTCGGTCGAATTTTCATGACCGGACCGTCCGCCCGGGCATCTGAGGCCAGTTTGGGGTGCCCGGATGTAGATATATCTTAAGACAAAACAGACGCAAACGCTCATATATACGCGCACATATTCACCCCTATGAACGCACATACACGCATCCTACCTCTATTAGCACCTCGGAAAAGATCGAGTCGGCATATTATCTTAGAGATTTTACGAAGTCACCGTAACGCCTGTAGTCAACTGAAATGCCTTCCACTAAACATGCATCACCGAAAATCCTGCAATAAATTCAAGATAAATGCCAACACTAAAATTTAAAACCTATGGGCTGAGGAGACCGCTGTTCACTAAAGCAAACAGCGGCAGGCCACCATGCACCCGGTGGCGTCCGGATCCAAAATACGACGCCCCCCCTTCAAAAAAAAAATACGACGCCCCGCACAGCACAGCACCGCACCGCACCGCAGCGAAATTCTAAATTTAAATTTACTGGCGTTTATTACTGATCCAGTTAAGTAACCGCGGCAATCCGCGTATACAATGACATCTTCCGGATCTCCTCCGTGGTTTAATGATATTAAACTAGTGGGTGTTTTCAAGGAATATCTTAATTTCATTGAGAGTAGAAGTAGTAGGCCAGCGGTGCGGTGAAGGTTGGTGGCCGGCGGGCCCCGCCGACAATCACCCGCCCCGCCACGTCGGAGCCCACGAGCAGAACGTTACGCGAAAGAGAAAAAGAAAAGAAAAGAAAAAAAAGAAAAGAAAAAAAAAGCGGATGAGACGGGGAGATGCCCGGGCCCGCGCGTGGGCCCCGCCCGCCCCCCACTGCCTGCCTGGAGACTTTCCCTCGTGCCCTTTTAACCCACCCGCAGCGACCGGTGCGCGCAGGCGCCACGTCAGCCGGGTGAAACCCTCCGCACTGTCCAGATCAGGCCCATCCACGCGTGGTGGTCCCCCGGGCCAAAGCCGATCGATGGCGTAGCGCCACTTCTTTATTCTTTTCCTACTTGCTTTATTTATTTTGCGTGGAGTGTTAAGTTTTTTACTAGAGGATAAAAAAATTGGTTGGGGAAGGGAACAAATGGGCGGGGCGTGGCGCCATCACCCACCCACCCACCTGCTATAGCCCGTGGACGGTTCGGGGACTCACCCCGCTCGGCTGCCCCGCCACGTGTCGGCCATCGGGCCATGCTTGTTGCGTAAGGAAGCGTCCACGAGATTTTATCGCGTGTTCCGTTGGGTGCTGGGCGGTGGGGGCGGCCACGGTGGCAGGCGCGGGGGCGGGGCCGTCGGATGCGTGGGGCGGATCCTGGCCGTCGGATGCGGGCATGGGCAGCGACAAAAAGAGGATGAGGCCTAGAAAGCGAGCCACAAGGGGAGGGGAGGAGGCCACACCAGACCAGAGAAGCAGCAGCCATTTCCTTCCAGCCGAGGGAGACGAGACGAGAGGAGAGCACTCTTCCCTCTAGGAGAGGAGTAGCATCGTGAGAGAGAGGGAGAGGGAGGAGATACTCGTGAGCGCGAGGGGAAGGAGAAGGACAAGGAGGGCGGGCTCTCTCGCTCTCTCCCGCTGCCTTGTCGAGGCGGTTGGTGCGTGGATCTGCGCGGCGGCGGCGGTGCCTGCCGGACGCCGGCGACTAGGCGGGGAGATCGGAGGCGCATGCCTCAGATCTGACATGGAGCGGATCCGGGAAGGAAGGAGGGCCGCACTGGCCATGTCCGGCGGGGCGCCTCCGCCGCGGCGCCGGCTCAGGAGCAACGGCGGCGGCGTCTCCGGCGGCGCGGGGCCGAGGGACTCGCCTCGGTCCGAGAGGAGGCGGGGGGACCGCCTCATGCTCAACGGCAACGGCCGCGACGACGGCGACGACACCTCCGACGACAGCCTCGGCGACGACGACGACGACCCCGACGAGGAGCTCGCCGCCTCCGCGCCCAGGTTCCCGTCGGTGCAGCGCCGGTCACCCAGCACGGCGCCTCCGCCGTCCCCGCCACAGCCTGGCGCCGCGCACCATCACAGCAGCAGCAGCAGCGGCGGCGGCGGCGGCGGTTACAACAACCACCACCACCACGGCCCGCAGTCGATGCACCGGAAGGGGGGCTCCAATCCCAAGGGCCCCATAGTGTGGAAGGCCGCCGACGAAATGATCGGCGTTCCAGTCCCGAGGAAGGCGCGCTCAGGTATGCTATGCACCGCAAAACAAGCAAATTTCCACCCTTGTTGCCGCTTCTCTTTCCCTGATCTCGACGGCGTTCCTCGTGTTTTCCGCAGCTTCTACCAAGAGGTCTTCGCACGAGTGGACAGGCCCCGGCGGTGGGAGCGGCGGCGGCGCCGCTGTAGACGGCTCGCAGATCCAGCGGCCTTCTTCACGGCCGATCTCGCCGGCTTCCACATCGGCCACCGCCCCTGCTCGGAAAAAGCTGGTGCGTTTTTCAGGCCGACACAATCCATCTCCCCTCATGATTCCTTAAACTCTTGCCCTTACTGATTTCCCTCTCTCCGGTGTCTCGCAGAAAACACTTGGCGGCGGTGGGAGCAGCGGCGGTTCTGGGCCTGTACCGAAGCAGCGGCCGTCGCCGGCTTCAGCTCCTTCGGCAGCCCCGCCTCAGCCGCCACCAGCAAAGATTTCCAAGTCGCCATCGTTCATTCAGGAGGAGATCGAGGTCGCCGAGGTGCTATTTGGCCTGACGCGGCAGTTCCCCTGCCCTCCCAAGCAGGAGAACATGAACCACAAGCCGGAGCCCAAGGACGCGCCGGAGGCCAAGTCCGGGAACTCTTCGCCGGCTCCGTCGTCATCTGTCGTCCGGCCGGCAGATTCAGCCTCTCTCACCACTATAGGTGGGCAGCTCGTCAATTTTGATCTTACAATGATTTTTTGTTGCTAATTTTGGTTTTGTGGGTCTAATAAGCTTCCTCACTGCTTTTGCCAGCCCCAAAGAGGAAGCGGCCACGGCTCGCCAAGTACGACAACGAGAACCGCCCGGCGAGCCCAGCAAAACCGGACACGGCAGAGCCGCCCGCAAGGCCGGAAGTGCTTCCGGTGGCAAGATCAGATGCGAAGCCGTCCGTGTCGGCTGTGGCCGAAAGTGTCGCCAGCACCGCCGCCGCCGCCGCCACCGCTGGCGCGCAGCAGGAGGCTACCCGGGAGCCAGAGAAGAGGGAGGACCACAGAGGAAGAGATCCAGAGCTCCGGGCCAGTGAATCAGATCGACGGGATCCCGGGCCCGAGAGCAGCCGGGCCGAGCCGCCGGCAGCAGCAGTCAAGCCCGACGGCGAGGCTGCTGCGCCGGTCGGCTCTGAGGCCAGGAATGGGGAGGCCACCACCGCGACAAAGAGGTGGGCCATTTGGATTTTTTATATTATTGGTGTTGTGATAACCATTATTGCCTTTGGATTGTGCCGATCTGATTAGTATATTCACGATTTCGCGTGAATTGTTTTATTTTTTTATCAGTGAGCTGGCATCCGATGGCGCTCGGCAAGAAAAGTTTTGCATTGATCTCATGGTGGGTATATGCTTTCATGTGTGTGGTTGAATTGGTCTTGCGGAATTTGCTGGGCAAAGATTGAAAACGACAATTTTTTGCCGCAACTGTTGATTGGCTTTTTTGTTTTCTTTTCAGCCCTTTTTTCATCTCACCTTTTTCTCTCCCCTTGTGCTTGTTCCAGGCTCCCCCTCCTGGGAAGCTATCTCCTGATAGAGATGGCTCTTCCGACCCTGATGCGGATAAGAAGGGATTGGATTCTGAGATGGACGTGGTGGGTGCCTCTGTCTGCTTCAGTTTCACCAATTCTGTTGATTGACCTCCTTAGCGGCTGGAGCATTGGATGTTTGATTCTGATCGGTCCATTTGTTGTTCATCTTTTGCTGGGATTTCAGGCCGGGAGAGGAAATTCTGAAAAGAAAGATGGCGAGAGGACCCGGAGAGGCCTGGAGATCAATCTGGAGGACGAGAAGGCGCAAAGGATTCCGGCGGAGGAGCTTGCTCCAAAGAAGCTCACTCTGCAGCTTGATTTGGAGAAGCCCAGCCAAGGGGACGAAAAGTCGCCATCTGAGCGCAGACAGCCGCCATTGCCGCCACCGCAGCAGCAGCAGCACAAGCCCTCAAAGTCCGAGGTCAAGCATGAGAAATCACGTAAGAATTTCGCCTGGTTCTTCCCCATTTTCTCACTGCTTTTGTAAAAGGTGATTCTTTGTTGACTTGGGTTTTTCCTCATCTGGCAGCTCTACCTGCTGCTTTACCCCCTATGCCAATGACCGTAGGCGGCTGGATGGGGACTTTCCCACCTTTTAGGTGAGTTTTCACTGCTGTTCGATGTTTTACACGCACTCTTGCTCCCTGAAGGATTTGTGGTCTAAAATCTGTTGTTTCTTACCTTGGCAGTTACATTGCTCCTGTTCCTGGACTATCAGCTCCTGGGCTTCATCATCCTATGGACATCAAGCCAGGGACTTCTGCTGGATTACAGGTTCGCTTTCTCACTTAAGCTATGGTGTGGTTTCTGTCTTTGGAGTGAATTTCTTTGCCAAGTCTAAAGGTTTCCTATATTGCAGCATCCTGCATTGCCTCCACTGCCAGTACGCCCCAAGCGCTGCGCTACACATTGTTACATCGCACAGCAGATCCAATACCACCAGCGAATTACAAAGATGAACTCTTTCTGGCCCACAACAGCGGCTGCCGCTGCTGCTGCCGCCGCCACAAGATCTGCACCATTCTTTGGTCCAAGAGGACCATTCAACATGGGCGTCGTTCCACCTGCGGAGGCTGCCTCCCTTCTCGCGAACCCAATGCAGGGGAGCTACCCTGTTCGGGCACACGCCCCGCTGCAAGAAACTAAGGCTCCTTCAATGGTGCCTTCTCCTTTCCAGGGGAGCCTCTCCAAGGATAAAGCGGCATCCAGCAGTGCCAGTGTTGCTGAATCAAACCAAAGGAAGCAACCTCCAGCTCTTGAAGCGCAGCAGTCCTCTCCCATGCCACCAAACATGATGGTATGCTTGTCGTGGATTTATGCTATTCATTACTAGTATTTCTTATGGTTCTTTTTGGTAATTTTTTCCTTATATAATTTCCCGTGCACCCTTTGTTTTTTACAGCAAGCGCCAACATTCATCTTTCCATTCAACCAACATGCTGCAGCAGTAGCAGCTGCAACTGCCGCTGCCAATCGAATGGGAGATACAAAATCTTCTGGCACCAGCAGTGCGATGCCGTCATCTGCCACTGCCCACGCTTCAGCAGCACACGCTGGCGCATCGGCCATGAACTTGAGCTTTGCCAACTTGCAGCCGGGTGATGCCCAGTTCTTGGCCATCTTACAGAACGGCTACCCATTCCAGCTCGCTGCTGCTCATGCTGGAGGAGCTCCATCATATCGAGGCATGGCACCACCAGGCCCAGGTGTACCGTATTTCAACGGGCATGTCTACTCTCCCCACATGTTGAACCCATCACAGCAGCAAGGTACGCAGCAACAAAATCATCAGAAAAACTCAATGCCAAGCTTGTCTGGTTCCTCTCAGAAGCATCAGCCACAACAATCACAAGGGTTGCTGGGATATGCACCAAATGCTAATGCTGCTGCTGCCGCTGCCGCAGCTGCCGCAGCAGCCGCTGCCAACAGTTCCCAGAGCTATTCGAGCGGCAACCAGCGTCCTGTTCTTCTACATGGCCTCGCTCACCGACAGGATCCAGACAAGACTCTGCAAGATGGCCAGTCAAGTGATGACAAGTCTTCACACCATCAGAAGGGTGGGCATGAACATAATTTTGCTATTCCAATGCATCTTCCAAATTTTGCGTTGATGCCATCTGCTGGGAATCAGAGTGAGAAGAAATCGAATGATCACCACCAGCAGCCACCAACCAGTCGAGGCCAGGGGGTTCGAATTGATCTTGCTTCATCTCAGCCTTTTGTGATGCCCTTTGGTTCCATTGGCGCTCCTGGTTCTGCTCCAAATGGTCTTGACTTCTCGTCATTGGCACAGAACCATGCGCTTTTCCAGAGCCATCAAGAAGCAGGCCGGCATGGTTACCCTCAGCTCAATTTTGCTTCAGCCCAGTCTGTTCAAGGTGCACAGCATAAACCCCAGCATCAAAATGCTGCAGAAGCTAAATCTGTGGCTGGGGATTCATCTTCAACGCCAAGTGCTGGAGATAATGAGAGAAAGAAATCTGCATCTGCAAAGTACCCGAGTGATTCACAGCAGCATTCTCTTTCTTTCTCTAAGCCAGAAAACAAGTCTTTTATGCACCCTTTCCTTGGTAGCAGTGCTAATGAGCCCTCAGTCCGCACTTTGAGCCTTATTGGTGCGGAATCTTCGAATGCCTTTGGGTTAGGCAGCAGCAAATCTTCAAGTGCTTCTACTGCAGCAGCTACGTCAGCTGCAGCCCCATCTGCACCGACCATGTCCCAGCAGCAGCAACAGCAGCAAATTCAGCTGCAGCTGCACCAACACCATCAGCACCAGATGCAGCAACAATTCCAGCAGCAGCAACTCCAACAGCAGCAGCAACAGCAGCAACTCCAGCAGCAGCAGCAACAGCAGCAACTCCAGCAGCAGCAGCAACAGCAGCAGCAGCAACAACAACAGCAGCAGCAGCAACAACAACAGCAGCAGCACCAGCAACATATGTTACAGCTTCAGAAACAGCAGCAGCAACAGCAATTGTTTCAAAATCATCTGAACTCTCGCCCCAGGTCTGCTGCTCCGAGTAATGCAAGTGGATACTCTGACCGTTTGAGTGCGACGAACTTCCAGAATTTAATGTATCCATCAAGCGCTTCTCAAGGCGGAGTTCCTGGTCAATCACCTCAATTGAAGGCATCGTCGTCGATGAGAGTGTCAGCTCCACCTTCAGCTGCTTCTGTCCCTGCTGCATCCTCGCCTTCTAATTTGATTATGATGAAGAACAGTGGTCTCCATCAACAAGCAAAAGCTCTGCAGGCTCTCTCCACCCCGAATCACCAGTCACAAAGCATGAGTTCGTCGAAGATTGGCCACTCCCTTACTAATCTTTCTACTGGAGGAGCAGGGGACCTATCTCGATCTTCAAATGCTCCGGTTGCTTCTGGTTCGCCATCTAACTCGGTCTCCAAAAGTACTGGTGGTAGCCCACCTGCATCTGGAAGTGCGAAGGGTGGCCAGCCAGTTGTCCAATTGTCATCACCTCAACAACATGCAGCAAAGAACTCTCCTTCAACTTCTGGATCCAAGTCGGCTTCAACAAATCCCTACAGCAGTATGCCTATGCCATCGATCCTTGGTCAGCAACCAAACATGGCTCACTCTGGTGGTAAGCAGCAGTCACATGGACCCTCATTGAAACAACAGCAGGCGTTCCCACAAGGCCATGGCCACGGCCATTTCTTCATCTCCAATGCCTTTGCGCCACAAGGTCCGCCTCAGCATGTAAATGCTGGAGCTGGTGCTGGCCTCTACCAAAAGCGCTCGGCTGACAAGACGCAGCAGCAGCAGCAGCAGCAGCAGAATGCTGTCTCTGGTTCGTCTGCGATGCTCTCTCTTGGTTCCATGTCGATGTCCACATCTGCGGTTCCAGCCGATGCGGGGAAGGCTCATAGTGCAGCTGGCAGTAACATGAAGGCCAATCTTCATCCAGCGCCTGGTGGTTTTATGCACCTTGCGACAGCGGGGCAATCTGCGAGTGGTTCGCCTCACTCTCACCTTTCAGCGGCACAATTGACGTTTTCAATGCCAATGCCCGTAAAGCCTACCAGTGATCAGAAGCCTGCTGCTGGTAATGGACCTCTATCCATACTTGTTTCCCCTGCAGACGTTGTTCCATGTACCGCCACCATATAACTTGACTCAGTTGTTTCGACTAACATAAAACCCTTGTGTTTGTCAGGTAAGTAAAGGACCTAGACGCCAGAGCATGGGGATGCTGCTAATCTGAGTCGGCGAGCTAACTGCTAATTCTGTCGGAAGCTCGGCGCGCGGAAGAAGCGATTGCATGGCAAGAGGCATAGCTGCGAGAGCCGGATCGTCGACGAGGAGGATGATGCACCCATTCCATCCATTCAGGGGCTCTGGCAAATCTGTGGAGTAAAACTGTGGAACGGCTGGCTGATGGGAGTGATACTTGTGTGTAGTAGGTTATCCTCCCATGGTGGAAAGCTGGAGGTGCATAGAAACCCCTTTTTTTAGCAGTTTTATGCAAGATTGTCAAAAGCTGGTCTCTCTCTGAACTTCTCCCCTCCCCTCTCCTCTCCTCGAAGTGCTGCTCTGCTCTGGTCTGGTCTCTTTAGATTTGTTCCTTTTGTTGTTGTCTTAACTGAAGGAAGAAGGTTTAATTAGAATGCAGGTCAAGGGAAACTTTTGTGATGCTGCTGCTCTTGCCTTCCTCTTTTCTTTCTTTCTTTCTGTGTTTCTTTCCTTTTTTTTTCTCCATGTGTTTTGTCAATACTCAGATCTGCTTGGATTGTTTTAGAAACAATTTGGGGCAGAGAGGGAAATATCTCTCAAGGAGTAGGAGTAGTAGTAGTAGTATGTTGGATTGTTTTAGAAACAACTGGGGCGGAGGCAGAGAGGCAGATAAGTAGTACTAGTAGTTGTTGCATAGCATAGCATGAGAGTGACCATGACCTGCCTTTTGGGTGTGTGCGTTGTAATTAGCTAGGTAGCCTTGTAGAAGAAATGAATCAATCAAGGCGGTGGATGGATGGATGGATAATCTTGTTAAGATAGCAAAGCAGAGTAATTCTGGCCTGTGTGATGACTCGGCACTGCAGTGCTCACTCATCCGAAAGTGCTACTCTTTCCGGTGCGCAGTCCGGCACGCCACTCTTCCACTCCGCCATTTGTTAACTTGCCCGGACGGACGGACGGACGCGTGCTGCCGCTATCTTCTTCCTAATCGTACCAATCTTCTATTTATATCTAATCTATCTATCTATCTATCTATGACACTGGGGCTGGATGATGATGATCTCATTCACATGGATCGCTCTCGGCCATCACACGTGTCCGGCCTAACAGCCACCCGACGTGCAGGCTAAAAAGTAAAGTATCTGGAAAATTTTGCCTTGGCCGGGGGACATCGCTTTCCTTTCGCTTGGCGCAATGGCATGGCGTTCCCTCCCTTTCCTGTCCGGAGTGGGTCTGCGCGCACGCACGCACGCACGGAGCCTTTGTCCAGATGCACCGCCCCGGTTGTTGGTGACATGTGATTAATCGCGTGCTGGATTGATTGTTTGTTTGTTTGGGTTAACCTGGCCTTTGCCTTTCTTTCCGGCACGCACTCATGGCTCATCCGTCCATGGGATGCCATGCAGTAGGAGTAGGAGTACTGGTGGTAGTACTACTACCTCGCTGCGATATCGTGTGCATACACACATCAGGTGGCCCCATGGCCTGTCATTATTGCCAAAAACTCTTGTCTTTGATTGGGACGGGGAGAGAGGTGCGCCAGTGCTTGTTCTGTGCGTCCAGTTGTTGTTTTCGTCAGTAAAATCTGGTGTCCCTGTCGCCGTCGTGACGTAGCACCGCCAGGCTGTTCTGCGAGTCGCCAGAGTTTACCGGCAACTGGATTTGCATGCCCACGCCGTTTGCGCGCTACGTGCGCCGGTCACAAGCGCCTGGGCTGGGTGGGCCACCCGTGCTCGCGCTGTGAACCTTGGGCGGGGCGGTGGAACTCCGGTGGGCGAAAACGGCGAATGCTTGTTTGGTGATCGTCGGCTTCAGATACGATCTACGGTCCAAGTAGGCAAAAAGCGTGGAGATGGGAAAAGATGCAGGATTGAGCGTCCCCGAGAAGTGTTTGATAGCACATGAGAAGGCAAAGGAATTCTACCAAGAGGTTTGAGTGCACTAAAATTTCCTCCAACGTAGAGTATGAGTGAATCATAGGGATTTCAATCACGTGAATCGAACGACCAATGCAGGAAAGTTTTTAAAGGATCCAAATCTTTTGAAAATCCTACAAATTTCATTTGAATCAAAGGAGCTCTCAAGGAAATAGAGGCGGTATGGTTCGCACATGTCTGTTCAAGGATATTGGGAGATCTAGATCTCCGCGAGTGACGCTGCCGAACGAAGAGACTACCTGACTAATAAAAAATGCTACACATAGAAGGGAACTACCAATTGAGGATACGATGAACATCCTTACTCTTCCAGGAAGAAGAAAGGAACTAACTAAGCAATTTACAATCTCTTAGAATTTACATATAGAGGAGGCATCACTGTCATGTTACCAGCCATCAGACCAATAGGGATAGATTTTAGGAAAAGAGAGTGGGAGAGGAGACCCCAAGGTGTGAGAGGATTGAGTGGTCCAAGAGGATGTTATGTTGGGTGGGGTATCCAACAAGAGGACTCATATGTATGTGAAGAGTGACCCTCCACTGTGGCCAAACATCCCTCCGACATCAGCCACTCGATCTCTATTATCGATGCCCCGTCTATTCTATTCTACAAACCCTCCAACTCCCCATCATCCACCCTCCCCTCCCAACCCCACTTAGAACCTCGGTACATACGAGCTTTCAATTCGGATCTAAGATATTCTTTTCACTTTCAACTCGCTTTCTATAAAAACAGTAGACATAACAACTTTAACCAATGTTTCTTGCTTAGATCTATAACTTTGCTTTCGGCACTTACCTCGAAATAATCCCCAGGGTCATGAAGTGGGATCATACCATCGGTGCTTACATCTAAAACTTTGAATCTCTCAATCACCTGGAAATAACCCTCACGGCCATGAAGAGGAAGGACACCATCGATCCTTCGATATAGAACTTTGAATGCGACAATCACCTGGAAATAACCCTCACGACCATGAAGAGGAAGGACACCATCGATGCTTGGATATAGAACTTTGAATCTGGCAATCACTTGGAAAGAACCCCCACTATCATGAAGAGGAAGAACAACATTATTGGAAATTCAGTTAATAGTTGTTTTGAAGAAATCTCTAAACTATAAACTATGATGCTTAGATCTAGAACTATGAATCCGGCAATCACCTGGAAATAACCCTCGCGGTCATGGAGAGGGAGGACACCATTGATGCTTAGATCTAGAACTTTG